AATTTTCAAAATAAAATCTTTTATATCTTGTTTTTCAATTTTAGAAACCACCAATTGTGAGATAGTTTTTAATATATAAGTCTTGTGCCCTTTGCTGCTTTCAGCTTTCACCCAAATTGGCCAACCTTGTTAGGTGAGTGGATATGCTGAATTAGAGTCCCTCATTGCCTGGCCACCTCTGCTAGAGAAAGTTGGGGAGTATGGGCATTAATAACCTTTTACTTTAAAATGGCTTTATTATTTCTAGGGATAAGAGTGTAAGTCTGGTAGGTCAGCTGGCCAGTTCCTTCATCTGCTTTGTCTGTAGAATGATCTATGTTGAATCGTTCCTCTCACTCTCAGAGTCCCTGTTTGTGTGCTATGGAGACGTATGTGGAAGCCACTTTTGGGTTTAGGGGAGATGGGACTTTCCATCCCATCCTATCTGCATCACTTCTCTACCCCATGTCAGCCATAGTATTTATCCCAAAGACCAGGCTATCAATTTCAAATAGAAGTATTCTTTTTTCTTCTCTACTCTCCAGACTGGTAGAGTATATTCATTAGTTGCTCCACAATCTGAGTCCCAGTGTCTCTTCTATGATCATCCTGGTTGTCATTATGGGCATTTACCAATCCAGTGAAAATGAGAGCCTAAGTGGTTGTTTGGTCTTGGATATGGTAAAATATAGGTACAGGGTGAAAAGAAGAAAAGGGGGAGAAAGAAATACAGACTAAAAGTGATTTCTGACAGGGGGAAGAAAGCAAGCTGTAGGAATTCCTAGTCTGCTGACTTGGGAAGTACAATCACTGAGTCCCTTCAAGTAGTCAGTTGCTTCCCCGCTCTGACCATCTCTGCTAGGGAGGCTCAAATACAGCTGATGAAGATGGCTGGGTCTCTCTCCAACTGGAGAGTCAAGGACTTTCTCTTCAGCATTTACAGCTCAGCTTTACTGAGTTTCTTTTCTGTATGCCTCTGACAGCAATGCACTGAGGAAAGAGCCTGGGTAGGGCTGGTTTGAACATCTATTATGTTACTAATTGGTAACTTGATTATATGCTGTATTATTACATTTACTTCAGAATTGTTTTCTGAATTAAATGAAATAGGATGTTATCATAGGTTGATTTCCTTAAAAGGAGAGTTTGAATTGAAATTTTTTTGCTCATAATTTGTTGAGGAAAGCAGGTTAAGATGGAGACTGTTCAAGCATGAATGTTGTTCAACTGTAATCTTGATTTGGCCTGATCCTTTTGGGAGCTCTGGGGCATGAATTGTACTGTAGTTCAATTGTTGTTGATATGTTGATCAGAATGTTTGTTAGCTTGTTGGAGCAGTGCTTTCCCTCCCCCACTGAGCCAGAGCATGCCTGACACTGCTGCTCTCCATTGCCACTATTAGTTATCTTTCTATTTTCAGTTTGCCTCAGATTGAATTCACTAGTGGGGAGTTGCTGCAACATTGGATCCTCTGAGTTTCTAATTTCCTATATTTTTTATATTTCTAAATTTTACATCAATCAGAACTTTGTATAGCTAAGAGATGAGTAGATATGTTCAGAAAATTTTCTAATAACACATTCTAATAACATTTAAAATTTAAAACTGACTATATGATTTAGTCTTACATATGTTAAGAAACTAGATGCAGGATGGTGACACAAATTAGAAGCTAAGGGAGAAGTGGTATGAATAGGTGTAGTGTTCAGAAAGGAGTTCTTCTGACTTTGGAAAAGGATCCCTGTTGATCAGATTCTCTTTTCACCAATGAGTCTCTTCTTATTTGATTTCATATTTCACTTTTAGGTTACAATGGTCTCTATGCTTAAGTAAGTTAGGCAGGGAAGAGTTTTATTTTTTATCAAGACATAAAGCAGACTACTCTCATATATTTGGGCCTTTTTCCCACTTGTGTGGGACCACTGCATGCTTAGCTCAGGTGAGAGTCACTGGCAACCTCTCTTGGGTCCTCTGTACCTCCCACAAGTTCTCTTCATTTCTGGTATGATGGTTGTACTCCCTCCTGACTTTTTGAATTCGTGTATGGTTGCAACCTTTCCTTAAAAAAAATGTTTAAAAATTATTTCTAGAATCAGGTATTTCCAACATATCTTATGAATCCTTATCATTCTATTTAAGTGTCTCTATAGGTGGGTCTTCATCAATCTTACTTATAGTGTGATGTTTCTATAATTGTGCAAAATATACCATTCTGTTTCAGCCATTGCCAATAAGAAGTGGACTCTTATTTCTTTTCTTAAATATGTGGTGCTTGAATAATTTTCTCATAATCTTAACAAATATTAGACCAAGGAGAGTCTTCACTCTGTCTTACAAATAAAATTATAGCTTTTATTAATTTGCATAGAATAGTTAATGTGAGATTTAGTATGAGTTTCTTGTTTAATTTACTTTTTTTTCCCCTTTAAAACAAATAAAGAAATGAGTTATTTTCCTCACTCTGATGCTTACCTCCAGCAGCTCAGGGTCATATGAAAACTTGCTTCAGCCTCAGGCCACTGATTCTTACCCACTCTGACGAAAGGCTTTGCATGATATTATAGAGTATCTCATCTGTATTTCAGAGTCTAGATTGTAATCTTATGTGAATAATTTTTCTGTGAGATAAATTGTTATCTTCTCCTGTTACATAACTCCCACTTCTCATGTACTTTAAGATTAATATCATGTACTTCAGAAGGTGACATCATCACAGATTCTGAAAGGGACACGCATATTCCCTTGAATTTGGCACATCACATTTCTGACATCCAAAGGGAACAACCAGAGCTCTAGATCCCTCGTTCCGCCTCTGGCCTCCAGAGGGCGATGTTGCACCTGGGAGGCTTCTGTTTTTACTGAGCATCCTCTTCATCAACTGAGCCCCTCCTCCCTGTCACTGGCTGTTATTTCCTCACAGATGTCTTTGTAGATAAGGGACCTGTCACTAGAACAAGGGCCAGAGAGCATACAGACTGCTTAAAGGAAAGCCTCTTTCCAAGCGTTTTTGAAATTTGTCCAACCAAGAGACGTGTGCAGCCCCGCCTCTCCACTCCATGCCCCAGAGGCTCAGGGCTCCACACTACCTTTCCACCTGTGCAGATCCCTGTAGCATTTCCACCACCCAGCCATGCTCTTGGTGACTGTGCCAGTACTTGCAATGGTTTTTACCCTGAGTGAGTATATGACATTTTCTCTCTCCTCACACGAAAGTGACCGTGTTTTGATTCTAATTGAAAAGGAACACTTTTTCTTCACAACCAAGTTTGTGCTGCTTTTCCTGACTCAGCATCAATGTTGCAGGAGGAAGCGGAGCCCAGTCAGTGACCCAGCCTGACCGCCACGTCCTGGTCTCTGAAGGAGCCCCTCTGCAGCTGAGGTGCAGCTACTCATCTTCTTTTTCACCCTATCTCTTCTGGTACCAACAACGCCCCAGCCAAGGCCTCCAGCTCCTCCTGAAGTATGTGTCAGGGGCCACCCTGGTGACAGGCATCAATGGTTTCCAGGCTGAATTTAGGAAGAATGAAACCTCCTTCCACCTGAAGAAGCCCTCAGCCCATTGGAGCGACTCAGCTGAGTACTTCTGTGTTCTGGGTGACACAGTGCCAGGGGCTGCAGGGGGAGCTGAGCACAAACTTCCCGTCACAGGGCACTTTCTATGACACACAGGCTCAAGCTGGGGAGTTTTCATTTTCTTTGAAGCCTCAAGCTGGGTGGGCTGAGCCCTGGGGAGCATTTGTCTCCTAAATAGTTGCCTCCATGTCTTTATCCTGCCACCTTCAGACTGGCTGTGTCCCAGGTGAAGATATTGTGATGGATTTCTCCAGGAGGGACCCCTGTCTTCCTCCACAACCTCATGCCCCAACGTCCACCCCACACATACATTCTGAGGAGAGTACTTCATAGCTATAAGGGTTTTGAAGTTAAAAAAAAATAGCAGCACTTTTGTTTAAACGGTCACTTCTAGCATCCACTGTGATGATTAGCATTGCCTCAAAGGAACTTTAGTGTCTGGCTACAGACATCCTCCAGTTCCTTCTTGGTGTGCCCTTTCTTCCAGTTTTACTTTCATATTCCTTTTCATTTCTGTTTGGAGATTTTATGACACAACATTTATCCTTTCATTGTCCTTTATTTAAATCAGGTTTACCCTTTACAAGGACAAGAATAGTTTTAAATAGTGGTGAGAACACTTAAGATATTTATAAAAATATATAGATATCCCCCAAATTTAGTGTTCATAGCTAGGGGCAAAATATTGTACAACAGACCTCTCAAATTTTTTATCCTGTCTAACTGAAACTTGATACTCCTGGACCATTGTCTCCTCATATCATCCTCCCCTTAGTCCCTGGCAATCACTATTTTACTCTGATATGAGTTTGACTAGTTTCAATACTTCAGCTAAGTAGAATCATGCAGTATTTGTTCTTTGAGGACTGGTTTATTTCACATAGCATGATTTTCACAAGGTTCATTCACATTGTTACACATTTCAGGGTCATCTTTTTTAAAAGGCTGAATAATATTGTATTTCTGTATATACCATATTTTCTTTATCATTTATCCATTGACTTACATTAGGTTGTTTCCACATTTTGATTATTGTAAATAGTGCTGCAACACACAAAGGAGTGCAACTGTCTCGTTGAGATCTTGATTTCAATTATTTTTAAAACATTTATTTATTTATTTATTTATTTATGAGAAAAAGGGAAATGAAGGCTTATTGCTTTGCTAGAAAAGGAGAAACACTGGAGATTCCTCCCCCAGAGGTTGTGATTCTGCCCCTCATCAGAAACAGGAGGCTTTTAAAGAGGTGATTCAAAGCTACATCCCATATCTTCTCTCTTGGAGTTGTAATTCACTTGTTGATTTGGGAGATATTCATTTTCTGAGATCTTCTGGTCTACTGAAGTCTGGATTACTTTTTTCCTATGGTGGATGTGTTCTCAAGGTCAGATAAGTTATCCTAAGAGGGGGAAGAAAGGTAATCCTGTTTCCCTGAAAATAGGGAAGGGGAGAGATTAGGGAGGAGCAGGGAGAGAGAAAGAGAAAAAAAATTACTCACTTAAAAAATAAATTGCAATGTCAGAGCTGCAAGGACTATATTCAAAGCATAAAGCAGACTAAGTCAAATTCTACATTTCATTTCTATGGATAAATAGGTGATGACATCTCCAAGCTGCTTTCTGCTGAAAGAGGGAGGTGGTGGGAAAAGTAGCATAAAGTCCTTGTTTTCTATAGTGAGGAGGTGGTGCATGGAGAGTTAAGGGTATTCAGCATCAGAGCAGTCCACAGTAGCAGATGGCAGGTGACAGGCATATATAGAGCAGAGATCATGCTAAAACAACAATAAACAAGACAGCAAAGCATTACTTTTTTTGTAAACAATCAGCCCAAAAGCAATTAGTATTTAAGCCAGTTTCTGAACATTATGAACATAGTAACTCGTATCCATATAAGTGAAAAACAGATTGAGTTTATCAATATAAGAAGTCTGGAGGATCTGTAAGTCCACAAGATGAGGTTCAAATTAACTCAGGACAAACTTGCAAGTGAGTAGTTTGTGATTATTATTATTAGTCACTGCCACAAAATAACCCTTCCTTTATAGCCACAAACTTTACTTACTTTTGGTAGGGCTGACAAAAGTGTATATCTTAGGTTTCATTTAAAAATACAACATTGTTTTTCATTTTAAATGCCCATGTAGGACTGTGCTTAGGCTATAATGTGTTCAAGACCAAGTTGGTCAAAACTGACCTTGTTCCTATCTACTCTTAAGACTCAACTGAAATTCCTCAGAAATCACTCTTGAGTATGTGTGCAAAACCTTTTTAGCTTTCCTCTACTAGTGATGTCACCCACCAGGAAGGGTCAGAGTTCTGATAATCATATGTGACTTCTCTTGGAAACATCAGGGATGTTTCCATCTCCAATGACCCTGCTCTTTGCTCAATGTGCACTGGTTGGCCTCCTGTTCTCTAGGGTCATCTGAATCTCCCTGCTCATCATATCAGGCAACTCACCAGAGGTGCAGGGGCCACTGAGGGGTCCTGTCATTTTCTGGGTCTTGGCTGCACATAAAGGACAAAGGCCAAAATGATGGCTGCTATTTCTTTGGCCTTTTTACTTCCTTGACTTTGGTCTCTACAGTTTGGGTTTTAAATACCCAGCAGGCCAGTTTCACCAGTCTTAAAGTGGGGGTAATGGGGTAAAACCTCAATATTTGTAATTTTAGAGTTACCCTTTTCATTTAAATGGGGTTAGTACTAGTACTGGAAGTCAAAAAAAAAAAAAAAGCTTCAGCACCTGCTGAGATGGTCCCTCAGTTATATACTACCTGACTTATATGTGATGGCTTATTATCTTGAATTAACTCAAGTTGTTTTATTGGAAGGAGTACCTCTGCAAAACACTAATGGATAGCAGTTATAAAGTTTACAACGAAAATACAAAATGAAATTAACAGAGCAAAAAAAATCACCTTGTGCAATAGTTAATGCCAAGAAAAAATATTTTTTATCATTTCAAACCTTTACTTAGTAATATATTCTCTGTTTATTTTGATGTCATAGTAATCTTCACAACAAAATTTGATCTTCTGAGCACAACCCTAGATGAACTCCAATCTAGTCTATTTTGGAGCCAGTCTAATGTGGAGTAAGAGGAGAGGCCAGTAACAGATGCAAAAAAACATAGATGAGAGAGGATCCCTGAAACCAGGGCTGACAGACAGGAACCTGTAAAACAGACAGACCTGCGCATACAAATTTCTTCCACTTATTTTACCTTTGACAGACCAACAACAACTGCAAATTGTACAATAAGCCAGAGAACTATTCAAAAGCCAGATCATTACAGTAAAACATTGTCTTAGACAGACTTATATGTAAACCTTTCTTCAACTCACTTTACCTTTGGTAGACCAACTCCAACTGCAAGATTGTACAAAAGAGAAACACAGAGAGAGACAACCAGAGAGAAGCCCCAAAACTATGGTCAACAATGGGAAGCTTCAAATTGACCAGCCAAGATTTTCCCCAGTAGACTACTTATAGGATTGACACAGTATTGGCCATGTCTTAAATGGGTCAGTAAAAGATAGAAACAAAACAGAAACACAGATATAAGAGGGAATTCCCAAACCCAAGGCTCACAAAAAGATGAGAACCTAGAACAGATCAGAAAGGAGTGAACATCCCTAGCTTCTCAAGTCCCACTTAACCATGACTCCTACATGAGTGGCACCATAGATTTCCCCAGAGAGAGGGACTGAATGTTCCCATGAAGAGGAAACAGATGTGTGGACTCAAGGATCTCAGCTTGCACATCAGTGGATTTACCAAATGGCCTATGGTGTCACAACTTTAATGAGTTCAGTTTCCTTTTTCTCAAAGTGGACCACAACGAAGCAACCTGTACCATTCAGAGAGAAAAGGCAGGAGTTCTCTGAAGCAAAAAAAAAAAAAAAAAAAACTTCATCAGCTGCTGGGATGGTCCTTCAGTTTCTCCGTTTACTCACAGGAATAAGTCCTCCAGTTTTACCTGAGGAAAATACACCCATCTCCTAACTCTCTTGCCTCTGGCTCTCAACAAGTGTGCCAGCCACCATGCATCCTCAGAATGAAAGTGGAATTCCTTAGAGAGCCAGACCTGTACAAGAAAGTTGGAATGGGGACTGCTCTCTGGTTCCACCTGGGGTGCCAATTTGTTGCTGAAAGCTCCAAAGTTGTCCCAGATGCTAATCCAATAATGAGGACACCGTTTTTAGAAAAAGAAAGGTTTATTGTTTTGTCAGCAAAGGAGAATCTGTCCCAAAGGCTGTGAATCTCTGATTTATTTTTGATAAATATCTAGAAGTGGGATAGATGGATCATACAGTAGTTCTAACTATAATTTTTTGAGAAATATCCATACTGCTTGCTTTAATAGATAAAACAGTTTGTATTCCCACAATCATGTTCATGGGTTCCAATTTCTCCACATCCTCACCAACACTTGCTTGTCTTTTATATAGTAGCCACCTTCATAGAAATGAGTTGAAATTTAATTGCAATATCTCATTTCTCTGAGGATTAGTGATGTTGAGCACCAAGGATCCTGAAGAGCTAAGATCACTTTGAGAAAGAAGAACAAATGTATCACATAAGCTTCAGTAATCAAAACTATCATTTTTTGATTACTATCATTAAGGCAAACATACAAACCAAAGGAACAGAATAGAGAGCCCCAAAACAAGCCCATGAATGTACATTCAACTGATCTTTATCAAGGATACCAAGAACACACAATGCATGAGGTAATAAAGATAAATTTTCCATTAAAAATACTTTAACACAGGACTCTGTTAAACATTTCAGTAACTCATAGCTACCATGCAAACTGGTAGGACTAATTAAAAGGCACCTGTTTTTAAGTCAGAGAAGATGATATGTTACTTAGCACTAATTTCATAGTTGCAGAGGTGAGTGTGATAGTCTCAGAGGGGTATCATTAGGAATTTCATTGACAGTGTTTCTGTCACTGAGCTTCCTTCTGCACAGCTAAGAAACAGCTGGCTGAAAGCCACATGAGATGCGGTACACTGGATATAGAAGAACTTAATTTTTTGTGAATTACTATTAAACAGAAAAAAACCCACATTCACCATCTGATTGGACTGTGCTGAAAGTTGTGAATAAAATTTGACAGCTGTATTTAGAAAAAAAATGTGATATATTTTAAGCTGAGTCTCTTTTCTGCATTTTCATCAAAATGGAATGAATCCTAATTGGCTTGCTTTGTTTTCTTTAGTAATTTTGAATTTTGTAGCTTTTAAAATTAGAAACCTTTGTTTTGACAAGACAGGCAACACTAGTGTATGAACACACTTCATTACACAGAGTACACTGTACATGCTTTCCCCAAAGCACCTGGCAGACTTTGTCATTGTTTACACTGGAGATAATGGGTAATCAGGCTAGCAGTTCTTTAAGCATATCTTAAAATAGTATTTAAGTAAATGGTCTAATTTTTACATAATTATTGCACCTAGCTGTCCTTCTTTTAAAAAAGGTGTTTGATAAGCTCAGCTAACTCAAGACTCTTTAGAAATTTATGCCTCAGTGTGCTTGACTTTAGCAGTTTACAACATTATTTGTAAAGAAAAAAAATATAAATATGAAGTACCTAATGTTGAATGTAATTGTACTGTATTTTTAATGTGACAGTGAAGATTGTTTAGGCACATAGATGTGTATAATCATGTTAAATGTGAATAAAATAAAACAGGTTCATAAAAAAAGGAATATGCAATGGGAAGCTTGAATCCCTGATTCATGATGCTGATTGTCAGTTCCCTGATGATTAGTGATGTTGGACACATTTTAAACATATATTTGACCATTTATTTATCTTTGAAGAAATGTCTAGTCAAGTCCTTTTTCCACTTTTAAATAAGTATTTTTAGTTTTTCTATTGAGTTGCCGGAGTTTTTATATATATTGGGGATTCACCTCTTATGAGACATGGTTTGTGAATATTTTCGTTCACCCCATAGGTAACTGTTTTGCTCTGTAGATTGTTTCATTTGCTGTGAAGAAGCTCTTTGGGAAGACATAGTCTCAGTTGTCTCCTTTTTCTTTTGTTGGCTGTGCTTTTGAAATCGTATCCCTGAGTCAGTCATCACCAAGGACAAGGGCAAGAAACTCCCTTCCTGTCTTATCCTAGGAGTGTCACATTTTAAACTGATGTTGAGATCTTGAATCCATGTCCAGTTGATTTTTTATATGGCATAAGCTGAAGGTCCAGTGTCATTAATTTGCAAGTCAAATCCAGTTTTCCAACAACCATTTGTTGCAGAGACTCTTCTTTCCCCTTGTCTATTCTTGATGCACTTGACAAAGAACAGTCGAGTGGTTATGCATGTGTTTATTTCTGATCTCTCTGTTATGTTCCATTGGTTTATATGTCTACATTAATAATGAAGACTTTATATCAGGAAAATATTTTGAAGTCAAATATTTTTTAATTGGCAAAGCATATAAATTTTAACTTGATGTATTATATTAATTGATCTTTTAATTTTGCATCATACTTGAGTTCCTGGAATAAAACATATATTTTAAGAGAATCTTTTATTCTTTCTTCACCTATTTTATTTTTGAATGGGGAATGAATTCTCATGTTTCAACAAAGGTACAGTGAACAGGTCCCCTTTCATTTTAGTTAACTGACTTCAGAGTTCTCCTTCCCAGAGTCTGGGCACTTTTTGCATATAGAGCCAAATATATGCGAATATTGATAAAACTCGATTCCTGCCCTCTTTGTCCTATAACATTGGACAAGTCTTGGGATTTCTTAGAGTCATGGGACATCTCTTAATTATTTTCTATATTTCCTGAAAAATCTCTTAAAAACTATCAGATAACAGGCAGATTAAAATTTCAACTTTTCAAATAACACCAAAAAAAAAAAACCCACACCAGTTTATTGATCAAAAAAACTCACATTTTTTTTCCTAACAAAAATGGATCTGTGGCTGTGATCCCACCCAGACCATGCTGTGGGCTTCTCTTCTAGCACTTTCCGTTCCACTCATGTTCCAGCCAGCACTCTCCACCAGCCTCCTTTTCTTCTTTTCTTTTTCTACCTTCCTTTCTTTCCGCTCAATTACTAGCTCATTTTCCACACAGAATATCTTGAATTCAATATTGAAACTTAAAAATGTTTCTAGAAGGCTTTTGCCACTCTTTTTGACTGCTCAGCATCAGGACCCATTTTTAAATTTTTTTAGCAATAGCGTGTTCTGAGACATGATGGTCAGGCCCTGCTCTAAACGGCACTTTATTATCTCATCACTGACATTTCCACAATTCTGAAAAGGTAGCATTGTACTGATATTACCCATTTTTCATAAGAATACTTCCCCAGAGGACATGGACAGCTACAGAGTAGGTGGATCTCAAATTGACCTCCACGTCTGAACTGTAAAGATCCTTCTCTGCCTGTGCCCCCTCCTCCCTTCAGTCATAGAAACTGAAAGCCCCAGCTACTCATTGTTGTCCACTGAATTATGTTTCCACAAAATTCATACGTTGAGTCCCCAATGCTGAGTACTTTGGAATGTGACTGTATCAGAGATAGGCCCTTTAAAGAGGTGATTCAGTTAAAATGGGGTCGTTAGTGTGTCTCTCATCTAATCCACTCATGTTCCAGCCAGCACTCTTCCCCAGCCTCCTTTTCTTCTTTTCTTTTTCTACTTTCCTTTCTTTCTGCTCAATTATTAGCTCATTTTCCACACAGAGTATCTTGAATTCAATATTGAAACTTACAAACTTTTCTAGAAGGCTTTTGCCACTCTTTTTCACTGTGCCCATGTAAGAAGAGGAGATAAGGGCACAGGTAGCACAGACAGAACAAAAAGGATCCTGTGATGACGGAATGAGAAGATGGACATCTGCAAGCCAAGGAGAGAGACCTTAGGAGAATCCAAAGCAGTTGATATCTGACTTTTGATTAAATCCTACAAAAATTGTGATAAAATAAATTTTGTTGTTTAGGCCAACTAGTCTGTGGGGTTTTTTTTCCTTTTTTTGTGGGGGTGGTGGGAGGAGGATTGAACCCAGGGGCAGTGGCCCACTCAGGCACATCTCCAGCCTTATTTTGGGTCTCACTGAGTTGCTTAGTACCTTGGTTTTGCTGAGACTGGCTTTGGACTCACTATCCTGCTACCTCAGCCTCCAAAGTTGCTGGGATTACAGGCATGTGCCACTGTGCCTGGCCAGTCTGTGGGATTTTGTAATACAATCCTAGAAAACTGGTACTTCATATATTCAGCCTACTGTGTAGATTACATGTGATCACATGACTGGGTCCCAGGTGCATTGGTAACAAGTGCATTGTTACCAATGTTGACTCAGGAGCCAGATATGAATTAAAGGAAAGATAAAGAGTTTCCTTTTGGGGAGTGGAGGTAATTACAACAATCCAGAAATGACAGAACAAAGGGGACAGAAAATTACAGCTGCAGAGTCTGGTGCTCTGAAAATTCTAATTCTAATTAAAACATCAGTGTAAGAGATAAGCCTATGGATGTTCAGAAAAGAGCCTCTCCAGACTTATTTTCTGTGATGCCCTGACTTGGTAGATTTGACTCTAGTTCTCAGTATTCCCTAATTTGTTCCTTTTACAAATTTAATCTAATCCTATCCATTTCCATTGTTCATGAAATAAAAACTCTAAGATGTGTACTCTAATTCCAGTATTAGGCAAAAAAAAAAAAGAAAAAAGAAGAAAGAAAGAAAGAAAAGAAAAGAGAGCTAAAACAAAAACAAATTTTTAAAAAACCACAATCTTTGCAGAAATTGTTGTAATACTAGGAAACTTAATAGGGCTTCCTATCCAGTAATTTCTGGGCTCTGACATTCTTCCTTAATTGAGTTCTTACATGAATTCAACTGTATCTGCCTTTATTCTAGGCAGAACTTACTCTAACCAGAATTCAATGCAGGCGGATGATAAACTAGCTTTCCAGTTCCTTCTGTGTCAGCTCCGCACCCTTCACCATCCAGAGCACATTTCATCAGCAGGACAATGTTGCCACCACCAGATGGCAGTGCCTCCCTCTTCTTAGATATAATTTCAATCTGTGTGGGGTGTGTGTGTGTGTGTGTGTGTGTGTGTGTGTGTGTGTGTGTGTGTGCGCGCGCGCGCGCTCGCGTGCACGTGTGTGCACTCGAAGAGGCGCCCTTGCTAATTTGCTTGTTGCATGTGTGTTCAAAGCAAAAGATTAAGTTCACTGCTGACTGGGTAAGAAATAGAGACTCTGGGTGGGGGCCAGAAGATTACATAAATATTCAGTAACGGGAGCTAACTCTTCTAACTGAGGGACCTGGATCCCTTTCAGATCCCAGAGCTGTGCCTCCTGTGATCCCAATAAGAAGAAGGATGCAGAAACTCCTAGGAGTGGGTTTGGTGACTCTGTGGCTTCAGCTGTCCAGTGAGTGGGGTCTGGTGGAGATGGGAATCGGGAGACCCGAATTTAGAGCCCACATGCCAGAGAGGTGAGCCTGCCTGTGATTTTGCAAATGAGATTTGAAAATGCCATTAATGACTTTTGTTCTCTGGCCTCGTTTCTGCCTAGGAGTGAACAGCCAACAAGGAGAAGCTAGTCCTCAGTTCCTGAGCATCCAGGAGGGAGAAAATGCCACCATGAACTGCAGTTACAAAATTGATATAACCAACCTGTTGTGGTATAGACAGGATTCAGGTAAAGGTCCTGCTTTGGTGATTTTAATACGTTCAAATGAGAGAGAAAAACACAGTGGAAGACTAACAGCCACCCTGGACACCTCCACCAAAAGAAGCATCCTGTCCATCACAGCTTCCCAGGCTGCAGACGCTGCCACATACTTCTGTGCTACAGATGCACAGTGATCAGCAGGCACCTGCAGCCCTGACACAAACCCTGCCAGGGCTGCTTCCCAGAAGCCCTGACCATGGGTGGACTTGGTGGTTTCACATCCTCCATGAAGGAGTCTACAAGCAGTGGGAAGGCAGCCTGTTCAAATTTGTGAGTTTTTGAAGCATCTTGGAGTAGGGCAAAGGTCATGAAATATGGAATGGGAACTGCAATGCCAGGCTCAGTTCTGCCCATCCTGGCTCCATGTCCTCAGGCTCATCCTCAGTGTAGCAGTCTTCAAGGTGAATGAAGGATTTGGATCACTGAGCCCAAACACTTCTTCACATACTAATTTTTATCAGGAAAACATAAACCCTGAATACTAGCAGAGGATGAGGAAGGAATTTTCAGTATTGGAAGGTCTCACCTGTCTTATTGCAGCCCTAGACTCAGAGGGGTCTTTGAGTTTCCTAAAATGACTTTGCTTTTCTCTGGTTCCAGGAAGTGGTGAACTCTCAGCATTAGGGTTAAGAGGGATCTTAGGATGTGTCCATGCAAACCTTCCATCTCACAGCTGAGGATTGGAGCTGTTGTGTAAGAAAAGAGGGGAATATCTGATCAAATTGTACCATTTAAGAGTTGTGTGATTTCCAAGCCTCAATTTCTCCATGAGGAAAAGGGCAATCTGTAAGAAGGTCCTAGTTTCCCCATCTATCAGAGGGGTGTATATTCTCAATAGCCAGGACCTGAAATGTTGTGTTGTGAAAGGCTTCTAGGATCAAGTACACTGGTTTTTCATCTATTTATACTCCTACTAAAATATAAAAAAATGCTGACTGTAGTTTTCTTGACACAGTCTTGACACTACTAAAAATGTGTTTGTGGAGAAAATCAGGGAATTTGTATTTATATGTATTCCTGGTGTAAAGGAAGCAGATAATGGTTCCCAAAAGCCCCACCTCGATCTATCAGCATCATCTGTGCCAGAGTCGCCCAGAGCACCTCAGAAGTCCTAGACTATTGCACTCAGTGCTGGCTCACTCAGCAGGCTCTGACAAGCTGATGGGTTTGTATTTTTTCATTAATAATGGCTTTATTTATGTATATTAAACATACTTATGTAATATATTAATTCATTTTACAATAATTTTAGGATTTAGACAAAGAAGGTACTGTTTTTCTTTAACTTCAGATGAGAGAACTGAAGCTAGGAAATACCAAGATTTCAACCAAACACATTTATTTTAAACCACATAAATTCATAGGTCTATAAAACTGGGGGTTTTAAAACTGTTTTCTAATTGCATGTCAAGAGTACAAAAAGAATGTTCAGAGACAAAGCATGTAAATATACATCTAGAATTCAAAACCTTTGAGTTCTCTTCAGTCCACCAAAATGAGGTGTGTCTTCAAAACAAAGGTTTCAGGCAGACTTGCTCCCTTGCAGAAATAGTAATTCATGATGATGGGACTAAATTATTCTATTTGGCCATCATTTTAAAATTAAGATCTCTTTATGATGGGTTTGTATTTTTAATGAATATCCTTAGCCTCATTTAGAGGTTGGCAGAGCCTCTGTTACAGAAAATGCAAGCAGTGTTGGGGGAGATTACTTTTCTCTCACATAAAGCAGCTCTGTTACAAGCAGGTCTGTCATTGTTGGGGGCTTTGTCAAGTTGTGAGGGTCCTAGGGTCTCTCCAGCTCAATATTTCTCATCCTGCAAGTGTCTCTGTTGTGTTTATACCCCCCAAGAAACTGCTAGAGATCCTTCCATGTCATATATGGAGAGAAGGAGTGGTCACAGGTGATGGGTACCTGCTGGCAGAGGCTTTGCCCAGCAGCCTTCATTGACCTTCCACTCATCTGAGTCACCAGATGTGCCCACCCCTCACCCCAACTGAGAGGAAGATGGGGTTTCAGGACTTCTTGACTATGCTCCCACCCACATCAAAATAGCATTCTGATAATGAGAAATAGGAAAGAAAGGACGCCAAATAGGCAAACCACTAAGGGCATGTTAGGACTCATGAATATTCTGGGCCATATTTATTCATTTCTTGAATTACTACACTTAATCTTTCTCTCAGTTCTGTTGAATTAAGTTCATGAAATTTTCCAAAAGATGTCACAACCTCTACCACCTAATTTTCTTCCACATCCTAATTAAAAACTCACCTTACTCCCTTGCTCCTCTGCCCCAGTGCACTTGACACACCCACCATGCCAGTATAGACCTTTATATTGAGAGTGACCTTGTCAGACCTTGGCAGGTGGACCTAGATTCTCATTTGCTCTTCAGAAAGAGAAAAGTTTCTAATCTGTCCTAGCAATTTGAAGGGTTCATTTTCCTTCTCTTCCTCCACTTCCTTCTCTTCCTCCTCTAAAAAATTATTTTCCTTTCCCCGAAAATAGTGAAAACTATTAATTGTTACTCAAAATAGTGAAAACTATTAATTGTTTACTCATTCTTGTACATCTGGTCAAGAGTTCATAAGTTGAGAATCTCAGTGACCTCTCTGACAATTGGGGACCTCTGGCTTTCAAACATGTAATTCCGCTTTAATTTCTTTGAGTATTTGGTAAAAAACAGACAAAGAAACAAACAAAACCTTTATTACTGCTCTGCTTGCTCCTTAATATCAGGAATGATAATCTGTGCAACTCACTTGTGAATCCTCAGCAATAAAGGACCTCGAGTATGATGACAATCGACCCTCCTGGTTCCTCCTTACGATCCAGTATCTTAGATAACATACTTCCTTCATTTTAAGTCTTCTCTAAGAGGTATGACAATATCCTTGTGGAAAAACAAGTATGAAAATCAGGCTGAGTGAGTTTCACAGACTTTAGTCCATGGATCTTTAGAGGCATATAAATATATTCCAGACTGTAACAGGGCTCAGCAGTCTATGTCCCAAAGGTCAAACAGAAGAGCATGCCATCTGTTTTTGTAAACAGGTTTATTGAAAGGAAGCCATGCCTGTTGATTTACATGTTGGAAAGGACTGCTTTTGTGTGAAAACAGCAGAGAAGAATATCTCCAACAGAAAACTATGACCTCAAAGTCTAAAATACTTACTAATTGCCTTTTTATAGAAAGGAAGTTTGCCAAACGTGAGGTACTTTTAGATTTGGATTTTTCTGTTGAATGACAAATAAATTGTTTAAAAATTTTGTTTTATAATTTTCATTTTATTAACACATATTAAATTATTTATATTAATGTAGTCCAGTGTGATGATTCCATATATGCATACACTATGCACTGATCAAATCCCACCCCTCAGCCATCCCAGGCTCTACTAATCCCTGTGCTATTTTGAGGTCTATTTTTTTTAAACTCCCATACATGAGAGAGAACATACATTGTCTGACTTATTTCACTTAAAATAATGTCTTCTAGTTCCATCCATTTCATTGCAAATGAAAGGACTTCATTTTCTTAATGGCTAGATAATAATTCATGGTGTCTATATAACACATTTTCCATTATCTATTCATCTGTTGATGGACACCTCAGGTGATTCTGTATCTTAGCTATAATGAATAATTCCACATGAATATGAGTGTGCAGGTATTTCTTGGGTTTGCTCACCTCATTTTCATTTCTCAGAAGTGGGTTAGCTGAATAAAATGGAGGGGGGTTGATTTTCAGTTTTTTTGAGGAATATTCATACTACAGAGGTTATACTAATTTGTATTTCTGCCACCACTATTTGATTTGTGTGATATTACTGACTTAGATATGGAACTTTTTTGTATTTTTTCTAATAAGTATCTATTCAAATCATTTGTTCAGTTTTAAATTATATGACATTTTTTGTTGAGTTTTTGGGGTGTCTCACATATTCTGGATATTTTCTTTTTCTTCACACTCTTTACATAATTTATTATTATTTGTATTCTTTTTAAAATTTTAATTTGTTAATATGCCAACAGAATGCATTAAAATTAATATTACAAATATAAAACACATGTTTTCATATCTCTGGTTGTACACAAAGTAGAGTCACAATATTCGTGTCTTCATTCATGTACTCAGGCTAATGATGCCCATCTCATTCCACTGTTTTTCCTACCCCTGTGCCACCTCCCTTTCTATTCCTCCCCTTTTCCCTATCTAGAGTTCATTAAATCCTCCCATGCCCCCTGCAACCATATTATGAATCAGTATCCTTAAATCAGAAAAAAGATTTGGCATTTGTTTTTTTTTGTTGTTGTTGTTGTTGTTTTGGATTGGTTTACTTCACTTAGTATAATATTCTCCAACTCCATCCATTTACCTGCAAATACCATATAAATTTTTTTTATCTTTTAATGCTGAATAATATCCCATTGTGTATATATACCATACTTTATCCATTCATCCTTCATACTTTATCTTCCTGATGAAGGGAATCATAATTGGTTCTACAGTTTAGCTATTGTGAATTATGCTTCTATAACATTGATGTGGCTGTGTCTCTTTAGTATGCTGTTTTAAATCCTTTGGGTATAGATCAAGGAGAGAAATAGCTGGATCAAAAGGTCGTTCCATTCCCAGTTTTCCAAGGAATCTCCATACTGCATTCCATACTGGCTACATCAATTTGCAATACCACCAGCAACGTATGAGTGTGCTTTTTTCCCCACATCCTCACCAACATTTATTGTTGTTTGCATTCTTAATAGCTGCCATTCTTACTGGAGTGAGATCAAATCTTAGAGTAGTTTTCATTTGCATTACTCTAATTGCTAGAGATGTTGAACATCTTTTTAATATATTTGTTGATTGATTGTATATTACCTTCTGGAGAAGTGTCTGTTTGATTCCTTGGCCCATTTATTGATTGGGTTATTTGATTTTAGGGTGTTAGGGTTTTTGAGTTGCTTATATATCCTAGAGATTAGTGCTCTATCTGATGTGTGTGTGGTAAAAATTTGTTCTCAAATGTAGTCTCTCTATTCATTTCAATGATTCTTTCTTTTGCTGAAAAGATGCATTTTAGTTTGAATCCATCTCATTTGTTGATTCTTGATTTTAATTCTTGCTCT